GCACTTCACATGGGGTGTGATCAGCGGGTGCACGTACTTAACGCTCAGCCAAGTTCTCTTTATGTTTATTACACTCACATGCTTATTTTATCTGATGTTCTTAACAGTCCTTTGAGATACAAAAGTATTATTATTCCCCTATTTTTCCCATGGGAAAATTGAGGCTTAGAGAGGTGACAATTCCTAGCTAGGTCCCCAAAGATAGGTAGTGGCAGGGGCAGGAGTGAGCTCAAGTCCCCTGGCCTAATCCTGCAGTTTGTCTGAAACTGAATATCCAAGGTATAGGATATAGGAAGGCCAAGTCAAAAGGGCAGTTGGGGAGCCCAGCACGTGTGCCCGCAAATGTTAGAAATGGCCACTGCTCAGATCCTGCCCAGTTTGTAAGATTTCTCTGATTTTTCCAGAAATCTTTCATTCCTTTAAAGTAAAATAGCTCCATTTTTCCAAACATTGACAACCACTTTAAAGTTAAAACACACAGACACTATTGAGTTAATCCTTTGTGGGGCCCAACCAAACACATCTGTGGGATGCATTGAGCCCCCAGGCTCTGACAGAAAATGTGTGTTCATGAAAAACCATTCTAAAGGTCTTGACTTTGCACACCCCACACATCCTGCAATATTAGAAAGGTGTTGCCACCTGGTCATATGACCTTGACATTCTTCTTTTGCTGGCTGAATTTTTCTCTTGTGTCTCACCAAATATGTGGTCTTTGCCTTATTAACAAGCCTAGAGGGCCAGCATTGTAAGCATTTGTATGTACAGGGTGCATCACTGATAGGCACTGCTGTCTGCCTTCCCAGCAACCCTCTGAGATGGGTATCGTCTCCCCTTTAACAAACGAGGGGACAGATGAGGAGCTGGAGTAATATCCTGATAGTTGAAGGCAGGATCAGAGGGGAAGTGGAAGCCTGTTGTCTGTTTTTTTGGCCTGCTCTTTTATTACAGCCACAAGGGGTATGTTTGCTCATGAATGTTGGCTTCACTCCAGTGGTTCAATTACTGGCCAGGCCATGATGACTTACTTGTGCTGCAGAACCTGGCGCTCCTCGGTGCCCGCCTCCCAGAGCGGCGTGCTCTGCACCACTCTTTCCACCTCCACCCTTCTCGCCCTACTTCAGGTCTCTCTAGACAAAGATTACAATGCTCGTATTTTCCTAACAGAAAGTCTTGTTCCTAGGACTGTCTAGGACCCTGAGAATTCAGATGAACAACAGCATTAAAACCAATGCAAATTATTTGAATAACTAAATACTACATACATTTATTCAAGCCAGCCACATGTAAAAAGGAAAACAAGGTTACAGAAGTGATAGCCAGAGTTTGATCAAGCTGGGGGTCTGCACAGGTATGCACAGGTCTTCTGGGTGGGACAGAGCTCAGGAGGCTCAAGAGCTCCAGATGCTGACCTCAGTCAGCAGCAGCAAGAACATTGTTGCTCAGCCTGCAGATAGCAGAGGGGAGGCTTGTCCTCCAGGGCATGAGACAGACAAACAGGTGATACCTTTTGCACCAGAAGAGGTATTGCACAAACATGAAGCAATCAGCAAGCTCGCAACTCCAGGTCATGGAGCATCAGGGTCACCCAGATTAACATATCGTGGACTGTTCGGTGATGACCTGAGTGTTTGTGAATCAAATCATTTAGAATTACATCCTTTCCTTCGTACAGTGGGAAGTGTGGCTTCTGGGACCAAAAGGCTTACAAGCTAGGTTAACTGGGGGCAAGTTTTTCTAGCCTCAGTTACCTCATCTATAAAACAAAGGTGATATAGTAATACACCTTTTGGAATTATAGCAAGGCCTCATGGACAAATGCATGTGAACGCACCATGTGCAGTCTAAGACCCATGCAAATAGCAGCTGTTGTTTGCCTTGGAAGCTATTCTTGGAATAAGAGTAAAGCATGCTTTTCCATCCACCTAGTAGCACAATCAGCCAGACATCCATGCCATTAAGGGAAGACCAAAGAAAACCCTCTGAAGGTGCAGATGTTCAGAGACACTTCTTTCCCAAGCTCTCCCTGTGATTCTGCCTCAGCCCAGCTGTTGAGATGCAAAGCAGCAGCTGTTAAGTCAGAAGTAAATCCTCATTAGACCTTTAGCCCCTCTACACACCTTCCTCTCAAGAAACAGCAGTGGCCCTCCTTGCATGGACATGAGGCAACTCAACTTCTTAAGTTGAAGCAATGTAATTTTGATCTGATTCTCCACAGGATGTTATAATAAGATTATATTCTTTGAAAAGAGACATTGTATTTGAGCTGGGAGCCTGAGAGCAGCTGGCAGGCCAGAGGGGATGGCACTCTACCTGCAGCAGAGGAGAAGCTGCCTGGGTGACCTGGCAGGCTGGCTGTGAGGGGCCGGTCAGAGCACAGATGTGGGAATGGGGCGAGAAGCTGCAAGGAGCCGTGCTGGCGACTGTGCATTGGGAATTGCAAGCTGTTTTTAATCATGACTGTAATACAGTCAGGAAGGAAGACAGGCCTCCATGTCCTAGATGCAAAGTTTCTCACCAATTTTAAAGGGGCCTACCCGAACGTTTTATAAATAGAGCCTGACTGTGGACTATTTGCTTAAGGCCCTGTGGGTGGGAGCAATGACTGAGCCTGCCCAGATCTGTGTGGACTGTTCTGCAGTTACAGGAAGACTTGCCCAGGCCTTGGAAACTTAATGCCCTAGAGGTTGAGAAGAAGAGGAGAATGCTTGGCGTTATTCTCATGCAAAGAGAACATTTTGAAAGTCCTTAGGGTGCAGCCTGGAGACCACAGGCTGCGCAGAAAGGGTATCATGTTCACCTTCTAGAGGCCGGGGGGAGCCAGTCCTCAGAACTGGGGCCAGCTGGCAGGGCAGGTTTAACGTGCTACAAGGAGCAAAATATGGAATGAGTGTGCGTGAATCAGGGCACTTCATACTTTTCACAGTGAGGTTGCCTGCTGCTCGGGTTCCCTTTCAAAGGCTCAGTTAATAAGCCCCAGCCCGGGAGCACTGAAATGGGCTAAACCCAGTGACTGAGTGTGAGCAAAATCACCGGGAGGAGATCCTAGGCCTCTGTTTTGGGTGGGGCAGGATGACTGAAGAATCTGAGGAAGAGGCAGCTGGTCGGAGAATGGATTGAAACGAGGTCACCCTGGGCCTAGGCCACCCTGCCCTGCCCCAGCAGTCCTCCTCCCAGTTTCCTGCACTGCTAGAGCTTCTTTATTTTAGGGGAATTTTCTGTTGGATGTCATGAGTCATCTCATTCTGTCCTGACACTAGAGTGTGGCAGAATGGCCTAGAGTTGCTTTAAAAAGGGGGTGGGGGGGGCTGTTGCCCATAGCCTGCCAAACCCAGCCAGTCAGCCAGTCAAAACCCTTGAGGCTCATTGACCAGGGGAGGCAGACAGGTACCCGGGGAATTTCAATTCACTGTGTGAGGGGAGACTCCTGAGGATAATATAATGGCAGCTGCTGCTCGTAGAGCGAGTGCCTGGGTCCTACACTAAACACTGCATGTGCATCAGCAAATTAAATCCTCAAACACAATAGTTTTCTTATATTACAAATGAGAAAACTCGGGCTCGTGGAAGTTAAGTCACCTGTTTCAGTGACCGGTTTCATCCAGCTAGTATGTGGCAGAGGCAGGGTCCAAACTCAGGAATGTGACGCTTGCTGATTAGGCTGGATTTTCCAAGTTCTGCACACAGTTTTATTTGTGCACTTGAGCCAAAGCTGCCTCTGACCTCAGAGGGTACAAGCTCTACCCAGGTCTTTGAACTCAGCCACTGGGAGCATTCTAAGTGTGGAGCTCGGGTGGACACTGTGGAGCCTGTGGGTTGCCTGTATTTGTGCAGCCTTGTCTGGTATAAGCCTTTATGGCAGATATGCTTTGTGCAGCCGCGGCCCCTCCGCAAAGTTGAGATAGTCTGGGTTTGCTGCCGGCGCCACGGTGTCCTCAGACTTCGCTGAGCCCTTGCACAGCGCCAAGAAAGCACACCTACCATCCACCTGCTCCTATGAGTCATAGAACTGCCACAATGCTACCAGGCCTGCCAGCTCTGCATTTCCCTCCAGTTGCTACTAAGCCAAGAGAGAACTTAGCCGTGTAATGCAGGGGCTCCAGACAGCCCTCTTCCACAGCCTGCCTTCCTCTTAGACTCTGCCACTGGACCACTAGACGGGTTGAAGCTCAAGGTCCAAGAGGTTTCCTTTGATTTTCACTAGGGTGGCTGGGGGGGAGGGCAGAAAGAGGGGAGCCTAGAATCCAAGGGTTCTTGGGCCCAAGAGGAGAACCCATGAACATGTGGTGGGTGTACAGGATTAGCAAGTGCCCTGGCTGCCAAGATGAGGCCAGAGAGGTCAAAGGAGGGAATGGTTAAATTTCATTAAATATGTTAGGCTTTGAGGCTGTTCGGTGTATCCAATTTTGACATTTGTGGATCTGTCATTGAGAATCTCCCAGCTAAGACGTTCCCACTCTCCATGATAGGACCTAAAAACTCACCCTTTGTGCAGAGTTCTCCAGAGGCACTGTCTTTTGCCGTTTTCTGTTGCCAGAACTTGCATCCTTGTAATAGTTGGGTAAGGGAGCCAAAAGGAAATAAAGCCAAACTTTCCATTAAAGCACACAGTGGTAGTGTTAACTGCGTGTGGATCATGGCCTCTGGTTGCACACGCTCACGTTTGCTGGAGGCCCCCCAAATGTTTATGTGTATATGTTTCCCTTTAGGAAATCCTCCCAAAGGCTACTCTGTGCTGTATGTAGGATGCGTGGATTAAACTGCTAACTAGGACCGGCTTTCTGCTGACCAAAGATGTATGAAGGTGCTTGAATGGGTTAACAGGCTTAGATGCCAAGACCACCACTCACTACCGAGGGTTATTTTAGTAGCTACCTACCTCATAGAAGTTGTTGACTGGGAAAATGCATCCTTCCCCCTCTAAGGCAATGCAAAGGCATTGTAAATGTTTAAACAACTTAAAGATGACTGTTACTCACCTTTTAAAAAATTCTTTTCAGATTTCAGGTAAAAACAGTAACTGAAGATGTCAAGCAAAACAGCCAGCACCAACAACATCACCCAGGCAAGGAGGACTGTGCAGCAGTTAAGACTAGAAGCCTCCATTGAAAGAATAAAGGTAAGATGGTTTGATTGGCCTATGCGTGTTTTCTGGTCAGTTCCTTCACTCTCCAAAGGCTACGCCACGTTTCAGAGAAGGTAATGCTATTTAATGCAGCTTGCTGCTAGGATTTTCCTAGAGCAAGCTGAGAGTTTTAGAATCTTTCATTTTTATCTACCAGAGGCCTCATTTCAAAAGCACTGGCAAGCCAGAGTGTCTAAGTTAGCTTCTCTATTTAGACAGAAAACCTAAAACCCGTGACAGGGTTTCCTGAGGACCTGCCTTCCCTGAATGAACATGGTCAAGGCCTTCAATCACTGTGTTTTACGTTGGGACAGGGATTCCTCATCACCCCTGTGGAATGTATTAAGTGTTCTGGATTTGTCAGTGAGCATAACAAGTCAACAATTGGGGTCTCCCTTTTAGAAGAATGCAGCTTTTTAAATGTGCGTGTACTTTAAGGACCACATTCTGCACTCAGGGTGAGTAATGCCAGCCTTAGTTAAGATCTGGAAGAAACTGGAGAGTATTTGTTAGGTCACCTGACTTTAGAGTCTTTCTCCTTCAAAGTCCCGAGAAAGGACAAGGCAGCGAATGTCCTGGAATGTTGTGAGTAATGCTGTTTCCTAGAAACTGAAGCAATCACCTGATAAATTTCTCTTGGCCTGGAGATAGTCACCTGTCTTCCAAACAGGAGGCAGGCTCTGCTGTATTGGACGGGGTTCAGCCGAGGACACCGATCTGAGCAATTCCAAGGGATCTCCCACCAGCCTCCTGAACAGGGCCCGGCCTTTTCCATTTTTAACTCACGCCAGAGGAAGGCACTGCATCTTCCCATGCCCGTTTTGTCTCTCTTTTTATTTCCCTAAGCCCAGTCAATTAATCTTGAAACTCTAGTAGAATTTAGCTCTGCTGCTTCAGAATTCTGGCTCCACATCCATAATTCGGTTCACTCTGTCCTGCATTCTCATCAATTTTTTTATAGAAACTAAGATACAACCCTCCCTTGATTCACATGTGCTTTCCCTTACTTCTCCCAACCTTTTATTTTGAGAAATTTCAAATCTATGGAAGAGTTGTAAGAGCAAACACCCATATATTCTTTACCGAGATTCACCAGTTGTTAGCCTTTTTGCCATATTTGCACTCGTTCTCTCTCTCTCTCTACATATTGTCACAAAATACATATAATTTTTTTTCTTTTTACCACTTAAAAGTTATTGGCAGACATCGTGACTTTCACCCCTAAATACTTCACCATCTACCTCTCCAAAGTACAAGAACATCTTCCTACATGAGCAGAGTACAAGCAAAATATTCAGGATCAGCTAAGGATACTCTAACACACAGTTCATTCATGAGGAATCCAGGCCACTCGCTTTGCAGAGTGGCCCTCACTTGAGATGGAATCGTATGCTGACGATTAGATTCCAGTTACATATTTTGGCTGGAACATGAGCTAGCTCATGGTATGTCCTCAGTGCTCACACTAGGAGGTATGTGATGTCAGTTTAATCCCGTGATTATTAGGAAGGCTGTCATGTGCCAGATTTCACCATATAAAAAGTACCTTTTCCCTCTTTAACAAGTTGTCTGGGGCTGATTCCATGAGACCCTGGTTATTCTGTTTTCTGACAGTCCTGTACCCAATGGGTGAACATTCAAACACACTTTTATGAAGTTTGTAAGTAAAGTATTTTTCTTTCTTATTTGTTTGCTTTGGTTTGCCTACGTTTCAGGTTTCAAAGGCCTCAGCGGACCTCATGTCCTACTGTGAGGAGCATGCTAGGAATGACCCTTTGCTGGTAGGGATACCGACCTCAGAAAACCCCTTCAAGGATAAAAAAACTTGCATCATCCTATAGAGGAAGAGCGAAATGGTCCCTCACCTCTTCTCAACAAATCAAATGATGAGCAGCTCCTTGAAGAAAATTACCTTCAGCTTATTTGGTAACCACTGCTAATAACTAAAATGCTCTTACTGTGGAATAATAGACTCCGAAGTCTTTATTTTCCAAGTTGTCCTTTCTCTGAAATGTGCTTTACTGATCTAACATAAAATAATAGTCTTGTTTTCCATTTGGTAACTATGGTGTCCTGTTGGGTTACTGCTTCATGAAAGTCCGCTGGCCTTTTATAAAACACAATTACATGCTTTCAAGTATATGAACGATCCAGTCACGTCAAGGCCTAAAATGCCTGAGCCCCTGTTTAGAATAAAATGCCAAGAATAGCTTAAGTCTTTAAACCTTTATGTCATAATTATTCTTAATAGGGTTGTGCCAACCTGTACAGTATACACGGGTGAGGAATGTTTGTGTGAGCGTGTGTGTGTATATATATATATATATATATACACATATCTTTGTATATACACATATCAAAGCTTATTTGCTTATTATAATTTCTCTGTTTTCATACCATCAGTTCCTCAGCTTCAGAAGTTACCTTAAGCTATGTATAGGTAGAGTAAGAACTTCTTTTCATATAGTTATTGTACAAAAAGTAAAGAGCATCCTAAAGGTAGTATTTGTTGTAATCAAGTTATGAAGTCATCTCTTGCTAACCCTTTTAGGCTACAGTAAACTACCAGTTAAGGTTTTAAAATTGAACTCAAAGTCCTTTTATAATGTGAGGTATTCTTTCACAAGAGGCCTTTCGGGCTTCAGCAATCATGAGTCTAGAAAAAGGGGAAGGTGCTCTTGGGGAGAACTCCAGGCCTCGGTGCCCCCAGGGCTCACACTCTCTGGATCAGGGGTGTGCGCTTCTGAAATTTCCACCTTAATGACGGGAATGAGACCAAGCGCACTGGAGCCTGGCAGAGGGAGAAGTAGGACAGTGTGAAAACCAGCTGCTGTTCCGGACCAGCCTTAGTGACTTAGCTCCTCTGTTTCTCTCTGCCTTCCTCACCTTTCCTCACCCGCTAGAACATCTATTTGCAGAGATCATGTTCACCTCCCCAGCCCAAGTGGGCGGAACATGGTGGGAATGAAACATGCAAAAAACATGAAGGTAACAAGACACAGGCTCTTTTCAACCATCTGCAGTGTCATCCCTGCCTTGTCCGAGAACCATCTGAGAGAGGCGTGGATTCAGTGGCACACAGCTTAAGCCCAAGCGTTCCAGCAGCCGGGCGTTGGGTTCCTTGATTTTCCTCTGGGCACAAGTGTGGCCCTCACGTGCTGGGAATTTCCGGTCAGGAACCCCCAAAGGAGGACCTTCCTGTGACCAGAGAGTGTGTTCACTTTATCAAAAGAGAAGAGAGGTTTTTTTTTTTAAAACATGCTCACTAAGGGCCAAACCATACACATAGCCTTTGACATTATAATTCATCTTCAGTTCCTTAAAAATAACTACAAATAAAACACATATTATTTACAATGGGTTTTTCCCCAGTTTTGAACAGTCTCACCCTACAGTACAAGCCCCTTTTAAAATCTAATGTCAGGGCTTTGAGTAGTATATTAATTGTGGATGAACAGCTGCAGGACTGTTTTAAACTGCTCAAACGCAGTCATTATTCTCCACGTCACCTGTCTGTTCAGCATTATGAACTGCCCTCACTTTTTCAAGACCATGTGAATCACGCCACTGCCCTTAACCTCTTGTCCTCTAGCACTTGGTTCTGCAGCAAAGCCTGATTCCCAAGTAAATTATAGGCACCTGTTTAGGAGCGAGAAGGGTTTTACCTTTCAAAAGGTGAAATTTGAAATGTACACTAAAAAGACAACTTTACATTTAATGCCTCACTTAAGGAGACATTCATGTTTTTAATAAGTATATTTTTCTGGTAGTTACAAAACACTAATCTTATTTTCACTCTGATTCTTAGTGTTTCTTAAATATTTATAATACATCTAATTAAAATGTTTTCAAGAAATTATATGTTTATTATACAGTTATGTGCACATTTTTGGTAGCAGGCATAGATTATTCAGTACGAAAGCATGTTCTTTTACCTAGCAGAAAACAAATTTGTTTTATTATATAATTTGTTAAGATGGTTGAAGCGATAAGGAATGGACTTGAGGTCCCAAGAGATTTCATTTTATTTTTGCCATCCAGAGAGCAAAGGCCGTGACTTTGCTCTGAGGAAACTCACGTAACTTCCTGAACAGGTATACGGCCTGTTCGAGACACAGCGAAATCAAATCTCTTGATCCTGGACCCAGGGGGGATGGGGAGGGGGTGAATTGTAGCTAAATGTTGGTTTACTTATAACTTAGACATCTACGTGAGAAAATATAATATATGTATACATATATATAATATGCAGAAGTCACTTTTATTTATCAGGCTTTATTCTACTTATGAAGCCACAGCTTAACTGTTCTGCAGTAGTAGCTGGTTTGTGGTAATGATGAACAGATGCCCTGAGTGTGTTATTTTCTTCCGACTGCCACGGTAGTGACACACTTAATCACACCTACACGGCACCTTCCCGGCTTCATGTCTATGAAGCCATTTAAAATATGCTCACTGTACTTTGATGCTTCTTCTCTTAACAGCGATCTTTTCTTTTTTTCATTTTATATTATTATTAGTTCATCGTAAATCTGTCCCATTGAGTCCTCAGGATCATGGCAAGGTATGTTAGACAAAATTCCATGACTCCAAAGAATTTCACAGAAACACACTCTTTTTCCTAGAGAGAAAACACTTTATTTACCAAGTGATTCACAAGTTATAGGTTGTAACTACATTTTTTCTAAAAAGAATCAGGTTTTTACTTTTCCTTACCTTATTAAAAAAAGTGCCACACTCATCTTTTGAAGGAAAGACCTGCTTTGCTTTCTCTTTGTTTGGAGTATTTTTGTACTTTCCGTATTTCAAACCATCAGAAAAAAAAATACCAATGATTTAGTCATTTTAAGGCATAGCTTAGCTTAGGTAACGGAGGACATGCCAAACTTTCTCTCAGATACCTTCTTCTCGGCTGATTTACTAATAAAATAGTGTCATCTGAATGATCACACCAGTTTTGATTTAAGCTCTAAATAGGCCCAAGAAGTGAATTACACCACATGTCAGTTCTTTCTCAATAAAATAAATGTAATACAGAGTATGTTATGAATTGTATTGATTTTTTTATGATATATCTGTTACTAAGAAAAAGTACATTGAATCAAGTAGAATTACATGTAGATTAAAATCGAGCGCTTATCTAAAGTGGGTGGCCTAGATTGTTTTCTAGCCAACCCTGTGGCCCTGTGGCCCTGTGGCCCTGTGCCCCTGTGTCCCTGTGTCCCTGTGTCGTGTCACTTCGGACAAGGCGCTTCCTCTCTCTGGGCCTCCACTTTGCCGTCTGTAAAACAAGGGGCTCGAAGAAGCTGGTGACTGCGATCCCCTCCTGCCCTCGTAGTTCTCCATCCAGTGGCTAGCCTTCCACTCATCTGCCAACCTGTTGGTGCTATACCTGCTTCAAACATCAGACTAGTTCGTCCATCGTGTGTGCTCATTTAATAGCTAATGAAAGGCCTTCTTGTCATGCAGCTTTTTTCTAGCTTTATGGACTTGATTACTGTAATAATGTCTTGTTTTTAGCCATGTAACTAAAAACATATATCCTCTTGATGTCTCAGTAAATTTGATACATAGTTGGTGGAATTTTGTTATTTTAAAACATTCTTTGGCTGCTCATCTGTCCAGCCTCTTATTAACCTGAAAACTGTGATCATTGTTTGGAAATCTGTCCTATGAAAAGAATAAAAGCATTTATTTCACAGCTAACATGTTCACAGACTTGAAAGAAGTTTCATTAAAGCACCATTGCTCTCTTTACTGGGTCAGTGCCTCATTGCACCATCCTGCCCATGTTTGGCTCCACAGATTAAAAGAAGACCAGTTCTCGCCCTGGCTGGTGTAGCTCAGTGGATTGAGTGTGGGCCTGAGAACCAGAGGATCAAGGTTTGGTTCCCAGTCAGGGCACATGCCTGGGTTGTGGGCCAGTTCCCAGCAGGGGACGCATGTGAGGCAACCAAACATTGATATTTCTCTCCCGTTCTCCTTCCCTTCTAAGGATAAATAAATAAAATTACATTAAAAAAAACTAGTTCTCTTCCCCTTTTCATTCATTCATTCAGTCAGCATTTTCTGAGCGCCTGCTGAGAGCTGCTGGGTTGCGAACTCAGGCTCCGGTGACACTCAAATGAATAAGACACACCAGCCCATGAGAGGCTCACAGGCTAGAGAGAGGAGGGTAGGAGTAACAGATATGTAAGCTGATAATTGTGTTGCCATGTGAGAAGTGCCATAATGCAGGTGAAAACGCAGTGTTCTGAAAACCCAGAGGAAAGAGCGCTTTTTCTCAGCCAAGTCTGAGGCTTCCCAGGGAGGTGATATGATGCTTGAACTGGATCTTCTGAGAAGAAAGCCTTTAAGCATTGGAATGAAGTCTTAGGAGGAAATGGCAGGAAGAGGAGAAAAGGGAGTTCAAGTTAGAGTACAGAGCGCCTCCTGTGCACACATCTGTCCCATAAGAAACAGGAAGTCCGTGGAGGTTGTTAAGGAGTGATACAGGGCTTCCCTGTGTGTGAAGGGCTTTTTCCCACCCTGAGATCAGCAGTGACCATGGAAACAGATAACAAATGGACTTGCAATGACTCATATTCACCAAGTGTTTGCCAAAGGTACCTGCCTCCTCCCTGACCCCTTCCCAGGGCTGGGATTCCCACAGGGATGAAGGAAAGACAACACTCAAAAATGGAAAAACAGCCATTGAGCACCTGGTTACCGACTGGTCCACCTCAGAGGTGGCCTGTGCTTCCGATCACCAGTAACCATACACTGCAGAGGGCAGGAACAAATGATAGTCACTCAGTCCTTTCTAGCAAAGGACCGAAGAGTTTGACACTTTTGTCATGAAAAATAGGCAACAACTAGCAAGCACTTTCTCTGGTACAAACAAAACTACCAGAAGTTCTTGTGACTTTCAATGGCAGACAGTTGAAGATGGTAGAGGGATTGGGTTTAAAACAAGTGAGGAAAGGAGGTTGATGAGGCTGAAAAGGGTAGACCGTCTAAGTAATCCTGGCAGATGAGATGTTACACTTCCTTAATGTTATGAACATGGAACTCAGATCTGAAGGTTATGGTGGGAGAATGAGCAGTGATCAGCTTCTCGTTGGCAAGAGGGTCAACTACACGTGTACATATGGATACTCATTATAATCTGTCTTATCTGGGGCTAGGTAGACAGTCCTGAGCATTTCTCCGACCTTCCTGTGCCCAGGCTTACAAACTTTTGGCTTACAGCTCTGACTGTAGAATCTGGTCCCACTGTCAGCTCTCGCTAACTTTGTACAACCTGGTGTGACTATTGCCTTTAGTTCTACTTGCTCCTCTACCCTTTTTACCACTGTCAGCAGCAAATAACTTTTGTCCTCAGATGAGCCCTTTTTGTGGCTCCAATTACTATCTCGTCTGAGTCATTCATATTTATTAAAGGTTGTTTAACTGTACACCTGGTCTCAGGAATCCACACTTCAACTATCAATTTTTTAAGAAACCAGCATTTTCTCTTCCCTGGAGGAAACTGCAGTCCAAATAAGTTCATCCTAAAGTGCTAATGGCTGAATATATATAGGTCTGTCCAGAAGATATCCAGCCACGTACTATGAAAAACAGAGACATTTATTGAAGAAGATACAAGAAATATTGTACATAGGACAATGACATCCCAGTCCCCTTTAAAGTAGACATCTTGGGACCTCACACAGTTCTCCCAATCACCATCATATTTTCCTGACTCTCATTGACTGAAATCTCTTCCTTTTTAAAGGTGATTTTAGTTTGGGGAAAAGCTAGAAGTTATAAGGTGCCAAATCTAGGTTGTAGGGGGGCTGAGTCACCTGGGTGATTTGATGTTTCTCCAAAAACTCTGCACAAGATATGATACATGAGTGGGTACATTGTGATGAAGCTGCCAATCACCAGTTAACTATAGCTGTGGCCTCTGAATCATTCAAATAATTTCTGCAGAGGAATGTTCAAGCTTAATGTGAAATTTGATGCAGATTCCTTGCTCTACTTGCTCATTTTGAATGGAACAGCCACACAGTACCTGCACTCACACAGTGGTGTCTACCACCCCCACTGACTAGTACAGTGAAGTCATCATTTTTCACACATGAGCATTTCCATCCACTCTCCTTGGCTGCCAGGTTACATAATCAGTGTTGCATAAACCATTCTCATATTAACAATGGTTGGACTTTTTCCAGACAGACCTCATAAGTTTGTAGAAAACCATGGCCCTACAACATAAAACTATGGAGAGAGCAATGCTTCCCACAGAGGAGTAGAAGTTAATAAAGTTTTAGGTATTGCTGAGAATTTTACATATGGAACATTGCTATACTTCTAGATCAGGGGTGTCAAACTCATTTTCACTGGGGGCCATATCAGCCTCACGGTTGGCTTCAAAGGGCCAAATATAATTTTAGGACTATAAATGTTACTCCTTAAGTAGGGGCAAGGAGCTCGGTGCCACCAGGTAGAAACAAGGTGCCAAGCTGGATAAAACAGTGAGGAGGGCTGGATTTGGTCCATGGGCCTTGTGTTTGCCACCTTTGTCCCTAGATAATCTATTCAATTATGAAAGCAAGTAACTTAAATGGTTGAGTTACATAATGGTAAGATCTCGAGTTTGGGAGTCTAAGAAATTTTCAGTGGAGGCATCTATGTGCAAGTTGTTACCTCTGGCCTCTAGATCCAACCCTCCCACCCCCATCCCTACACATACATACACACACTGCTTAGTGACAGAAGTGAGAACTCCCTAAAGGACCTTAAATCTGTCCTGACGTAGGACATTAACCACGCAATGTCATAAGGATGCTGGTTCCGCAAATGTGTATGCTAGCACAAGTCTAAGGCTGTCACTCACTGAATAGATGTGCCCAGTGGTACCTGCTCTGCGACAGGTGCTGAGAGACCTGGCCATTAATGTCACCTGAGATTAGGGTAAAGATAACCTTAAAAGCTGGCATGTGAGATGTGTTGGGTTGCCAAAAGTTTCATTTAGTTTTTTCTGTAAAATAAACATTTTTTTATTGTCACCCATAATTACTGATTTTAATATTCTGAGTATGTCGGCTACCTCCCACTATTGGCTTCTAGTGGTAGAGGCCAGGGGTGCTGCTAAACATCTTCCAATGCATAAGACAGCCCCACAGCAAAGAATTACTTGGCCAAAATGTCAGTAGTACCAAGAAACCACAAACCACTTTTGACACATTCAATCAGTCACAGCACCTTCTCCATACACTGCACAAATTTTTTTTTGCATTTCAGTTGTGTTTTTACCTTTCTTGAAATAATAAAGCATACTACACTGAGGATGTTGCATTTATTCTTCCATCTTTAATATTAAAATGGCTGCACAAAAATTTACCAATTTTGGTAAGTTTTTTTAAAAATGCACACTAAATGACAGCTGCATTTAAATGCTACACAGTACAATCTAACAAAATTGTTTTGAATGAAGTTAAAGACAATTAAGCTCTACTAGAGCCATCATATGGAAAAAACTAAATGAATTTTTTGCCCAACCCAATAGATAGTATATAAATTTCTTAATTTATTATTTTATATGTTTATATGTGCCATTGATTCTGAACATCATGCGTTTGAACTGCATGGCTCCATTTACATACAGAGTTGTTTTTCTTTTCCAGTAAATACCTGCACTTTTTCTGGGAGTTCACAGATGCAGAGAGCTGACTTTATGCACCGATCTATCCATTTCACATAGAACACTTGAGCGTCCACAGATTTGGGTGTCCACAGGAGGTCCTGGAACCAGTCCCACACATATACCAAGGTACAACTAAGTATTTGAGGAGTCAAAAGTTATACACAGATTTTCGACTGCTGGGGTGTCAGTACCCCTTGTCCCCATGTTGGTCCAAGGTCAACTGGATTAGGAAAACTAGAACTAGCCCAAGCTGTGATATAAGTTTCCATCTAAAATAGATGTAAGTAAGAAGTAAGCCGATTTACATTTCCAAAAATATAAACATATAATAGTACAGCTTGTACTCGGGTACGTTAAAAATCGTAAAGGAACCTCACAGCATGTCAGAAAACAAACATCCTTTTGGAGAACTGCACTCCAAGCACTTTTCATGTGCAACAGGTCATTGCTACTTCTAACCGTCAAATGGCCAATGTGTTTTTCCCTTGGCCAAAGCATTAGATGGGTTGGTTCTAAATAGACCCTTTTAGATCTGACAGCAGTGAGGTACGTTTCCATATGGGCTATGTAACATCTATTGATATTGACAGGCACTTATTTGCGTGAGGCACTGGGGAATAGGAGGACCCAGCATGGACACTAGGCTGGCACTTTGCATCTGTTGTCCCACTTGAAGCCTCACAACAAGTAGGTATTATTTTACTCTATCTTCCAGATGAGGAACTGAGGCTCAGAGAAGCTAAGAATGTTTATGCAGGATCGTACGATTAAGAGGTACAGATGCTGCCCTGGCTCGTGTGGCTCAGTGGATTGAGCATGAGCCTGAGAACCAAACAACCATGGTTTGATTCCCAGTCAGGGCACATGCCTGGGTTGCAGGCCAGTTCCCAGCAGGGGACACACGAGAGGCAACCACACATTGATATTTCTCTCCCTCTCTCCTTCCCTTCCCTTCCCTCTAAAGATAAATTAATAAAATCTTTTAAAAAAAGGTCAGATGCTAATTTCATATACCTACATTACTCAGACTCTTCAGCAAACAGACTGTCTTCATATTTGTAGCATGGTTTGAATAGGATTAA